GGAACATTCTAATTGTTAGCTATTATTGTCTCCTCTTTATTTGAAGCTTAGTGAAGAGTTTTCTTTGCTATTGTAACTTGTTTAAGATTCTGAACATAAAATGATGGGAATGTGAAAGAAGATCATTTCATTGTTAAACTTATTTTCTGACTTGAAAGCCTGAAAAATCAAGTTGTGGAAAATGATATTTAATAATCAGATTTTCTAACTTAAGATACCTATTCTTTAAAAGAAATGACCATATTTTAATCAGTATGTTTTTTTTCAGGAGTAGTGAAACGAATCATTCCTGCAGTAGCTTCTACAAATGCAGTCATTGCAGGTAAGGAAAAATGGCCACTACTTAACTTTGTTTTCTTTCCTTAATTTTTGATTCACTATCTAAACTGACATTTCTGCAGCTACTTGGTTTCAGAAAACTGGTGTCCTAGGAATTTGATATCTTCTTAGGTGGATGGTGTAATTTTTAAGCTGTCCAAAAAAGAACAAGCAGTTGGATCTGTATATATTTTGTCTTACATTCTGTCATAAAGTGCACTGCATTAAGGGGACATTTTAGTACCTTTCCTTTTAATCAGTGTAACAGGTTGCTCATTAATCTGAAGAAGAGGAAGGAAAGCATGTAATGCTACTCTCTTGCTTGGATTATACAAAACAAATATAAAATTTATTACTTTTTCATTTTTGAGAGTATATTCTTTATCTGTTTTTAATCAATTGCCTTATAAGTTTATCTATAACTAATTTTTAAAAAAACTTGAAATTTTAAATGTCTAATTTGCATCGAGCTGAAGCACCTTTATTTTCTCCCCTTTTCAGCTGTGTGTGCCACTGAGGTTTTTAAAATAGCCACAAGGTAATGGATTTCATTTTTTAATATGTATATAAATTGATGTTTTGACCTGGCTCAATTATATAAAGATGAACCATTTTTCTTTACAGTGCATATATTCCTCTTAATAATTACTTGGTATTCAATGATGTAGATGGACTGTACACATACACATTTGAAGCAGAGAGAAAGGTTAGTAATATTACACTAATGAAAATTTTTTGATCACGCATACTTAGATTTTTATATATTCATTACAGGTTAGAAATATAAATGAAATTGCCCACAGCCTAAGTATTTTCTAACTTCTAGAACCTACTCACTGTGTATCTTTTGCACTATAGCCTGAAATAAATACTATGTAGCATAATAATTTAGGAGATTTTAAAGCATAAAAATTTGTTCATAGGAAATATGCATGATTATAAAACAATTTGATTCTCAGTTCATCATTATAGACTATTATTGGTTCATGTGCCACTATGATTTGTTTTGTTTTATATATGTAGGAAAACTGCCCAGCTTGTAGCCAGCTTCCTCAAAATATTCAGTTTTCTCCATCCGCTAAACTGCAGGAGGTTTTGGATTATTTAACCAATAGTGCTTCTCTGTAAGTGTTGTGGACTTTTGTTCTGTTGTAGAAATACTTTTGTGGGGGTGCCTGGGTGGCTCAGTTGTTAAGCGGCTGCCTTCGGCTCAGGTCATGATCCCAGGGTCCTGGGATCAAGTACCGAGCAGGGCTCCTGCTTCTCCCTCTCCCACTCCCCCTGCTTATTCCTGCTCTTGCTATCTCTCTCTGTCAAATAAATAAAATCTTTAAAAAAAAAAAAAAGGAAAGAAATACTTTTGTGATTTTAAAACTTTAAAAAAACAAGAATTGTTTTTAAAAAGTGATCTTTTTTTGTTTGTTTCCTCTCTCATTATTATATTTAGGCAGATGAAATCTCCAGCCATCACAGCCACATTAGAGGGAAAAAATAGAACACTTTACTTACAGGTAGTCAGTGTTTGTTTTTTTTTTAGTTTGTTTGTTTTCCACAAAATTATATTATAAGTTTAATTTCATTTAATGTGCTTTACATTAAAATAATTTTATTTTCTAGTCAGTAACCTCTATTGAAGAACGAACAAGGCCAAATCTCTCCAAGACGTTGAAAGGTATTTTAAATGGATATATTTGCTAGTCAATTTCTTCTTTTTTTTTCTCTTGGTAAAAGTAATAAATGCTTATTCTAGGTTTGTTTTAATGCCTTTAAATTGTAATTATATTTTTAGAAGCAATAATAGAATTGTTCTTTTAGTAGAATATTAAAAAATCCCTAAGAAATCCAATATAATATTACCTTGATTAAAGAGAACTAGATTTTGATGTTTATCTAGACATAAAACTTTATATGTATGCGTGTGTTGTGCTTTTTGTTGAGACTTTTTTGCTTGGGTTAATTATACTTTTTCTGTTTTAGAATTGGGACTCGTTGATGGGCAAGAACTGGCAGTTGCTGATGTCACCACACCACAGACTGTACTATTCAAACTTCATTTTACTTCTTAAGGAAAATAAACCTGCACATAATAGAAAACTCATGGAAATTTATTACGTGGATGCTACAAAATTTAATGTCATTTTTAGCATTAGTGTTGCTGGAATTTGGCTTTTTTTATATAATGAACCACTCTTTTTTAAATTTGTAACTTCCCCTTGAAGACAGAATTTTGGGGTTGGTACTTGTAAGCATTTTCATTAATAATATGGGAAATGATGCTTGGAGAGAGAGAATGAGCAAATGTATTGCTTCTTTCAGAGAAGGAGGGACAAGCACTCTCTTGTGTCTGACTTTTGTTACTGTGGTCAAAGAATGCATTCCTCAGTTTTCATGTGAGCACCCACACAGAGAAAAGGTACCCCTTTAAAGAAAAAAAGAAAATTAAGTTTTAAATAACATTGAATATGACACCCTCACATCTAGAGCATATTGAACATAGCCTATTTCTTGCTTGATTTAATATTCATTTAATTGTGGTTGTCCAAATGAATATTAATTATTGCAAAGGTTACCTTGTCCATAATAATTTGTAAATGGTGTTATAGCTGAATACCTGTGCATGGAAATGGGAACTATTTTCATGTTTACTTGTGCCATAGAGGCCAATATGCACAATATTAAAGCCAAGATATGGATGTTTAGAAGAATTTAATGTTCAGGCAGTTATCACTGATGCTTTCACACTATTTATTAATAAAATCATATATTGTCAACTTTTCTCACTGAAATTTTTTAAAGTATATTAAGGATAGTAATAAGTAGTTCCATAGTAATATAGGAATAATTTTTAAATGTGTAGCAGGATTACTAATACAAAATTTTTATGGTACCTGAATTAATACTTTTACCACAATAAATATCTTCTGATTTAATTTGCTCAAACATAATAATGTAATGAAGTGGAATCTTTTTATATTGTTAAAGTCTCTTAAAATGCCTTTTTCCCACTAAAAAAATAAGCCTTAAAAGAAAATTTTAGTGTAAGTTTTGAAAAATTAGTTTTAGTATCTCAATGTGGGAAATTGCATTATGTATTTCAGTTTTTTACTTAGATGGCAATTTTCTACGCAAAAGCCTTGTGATTACATGTCACTGGGTTAAATTTTTATTTATTTTTCTTTCTAGCTCCAAACTGACAAATAATTTGTTTCATTATAAAGTCATATGAGATACATAGATATGCTTTATTTAAAAAGTTACAGATTCAGTTTAAGTTTTTTAATATGAAGCAACTAACATTTAGCAACTCCTTTATACAGGTGCTCTAATAATTCTCAAAGTAGCCTTGTGAGAAGGTGATAATATCTCCATCTGAGAGCTAAAAGGTTTTAGAAAGTTTAATCAGGGGCGCCTGTGTGGTTCAGTCGGTTGAGGGACCAAATTCTTGATTTCGGCTCAGTTCATGAACTCGGGGTCCTGGGATTGAGCCCTGTGTCTGGTTCCGTGCTCAGTGGGGAGTCTGCTTGAGGATTCTCTCTTCTCCTTCTGCCCCTCCCCCTGCTATCTCTCTCTAAAATAAATAAATCTTAAAAAAAAAAAAAGTGCATCATTTACCCAAAACTGTACAATTAGAAATCTTGGAACAGGGATTCCAATCCCAATCTGCCCCAACCTCCTCCACAGTCTACTTATTTAAGCTGTAAACCATTTAATATTTCATGGGAAATCTACTATTTGTGTAGATTACTAAATATTAAGAGTATCAACATGCAGATTTTTTACTGGTTAGATGAAATTATTGGAAGGTTATAACTTCTCAAGGGTAGAATTTAAATCTGATTAAAACTTTAAAGAAAAATAATTTTATGGCATAGTTGCTTACACTTGGGTAAAGTACTCAAATATAGGGGACAGGCAAGTAATGTAAATAATCACAGCAGGGAGGTATAGTAAGGTTTAATAAGATTAGTGGGGTTTGTGGCAAATTGGAGTGAAAATTATTTGTCCAAAGGGGCAACGACCTCAGTTAACTGTTCCATGTTGGTATCCATATATTTCAAAATCATCTGGAAATCAGTATTTTTGTATGGAATCCGATTTTAAATGTTGACAGAATTTTGCGTTTAAGCTATGGAGTCCAAATCCCATAGCTACTGACCAGATTAGGAAGGCCAGCAATTTGATTTTTTCAGATAGCGAAATGTTTGAAGAGTGAATGCAGAAAACGTTGTATTTTAAATAATGTGCACAACACACATTAATAGAATAGTTTTAGTGTTTCTCAGGTTTGTTTTGACTGGGGCCAAGACTGGCCCTGCATTGTGAGGACTAGTGCCTTCCGTACCCGCGTTCTATAACAGCTTGTGGAAGACACGCCTTTTTACCTACGTCATCAGGTGGACTGGATCAGGCTTTTTATACAATGTCCAGTATTCTTAGGCAAACCCAAACCCAGGGTTCCACCGTAAGGCCACGTTAACACAGGACTGATTAAATACTTGAGACAAATTGCTACTAGGCGAGAGCCAAACTTCCTTTGCAATTCTTGCTGGCTAGGCGCTAGCTTTTAGTACGTGAGCTATCTTCTAGGAAGGAACTCACGTGAAAACTAGCTTTCCTACACAGACGACTCTACCTCTGCTAGTAGCCACAGAGCTTCTCTGGTGGCCAAGAATTTGCGCGCTATGCCTGGAATCAGCATCCACAGCAATAATTCCGCGTTCTTCGTAACTAATGGCACTCTTCGGGTCCCGGATGTGACGTCAACGTTCCTCCGGTTCTTCCGTCTATTGACGGAACTCTGGGCTCCCGGATTTGGTGGTTGTGTACGTGGAAGAAGCCAGCTCATGCGCAGTCCGGGCCTTTGGTCTCAGCTGTGCGGGCAGGGCTGAGGGTAACATCCCCGGCTCGGGGGAGACTGTCGGGGTCATGGCCAGCCGCTGACAGGGCCCGCCGAGTGAGGAAGGGGGCGAGGCCTTTCCTGTGCACCCTTCCCCGGGCCTGAGGCCGGTCGGCCTGGCCCTCGGTCTTCCCACTTGGTGCTGTCGCCGCGGCCGCCGGCTCAGGAGGGGAGATGAGTTGGTTCAACGCCTCCCAGCTCTCCAGCTTCGCGAAGCAGGCCCTGTCCCAGGCCCAGAAGTCCATCGACAGGGTCCTGGATATCCAGGAAGAAGAGCCGAGCGCCTGGGCCGAGACCATTCCGTACGGAGACCCGGGTAAGGGAGAGAGAGGAGCGGGGGGTCCCGGGGGTCCCTGTGCTCGCGGAGGCAAACAGGTGAAGAGGTGTCGACAGGGATCCTTCCCCGCTGACAGAGTTCTGAGCAAGTTCTGTCTCCCCAGCCCGTGCACAAATGCTTGTTTTCTCTAAGTGGGTCTTCGCGGTTTTCTTGAGGGAAATCCCAGGCCCGGGGTCCTCCGGGCCCGTAGCCCCGGGTGCGGGTCCTGCCGGCCTCGGAAAACCGGGTCGCGATTTGTCGGGCTTGTGCCCCGCCCTCCCTAGTCGTAGCTCGGAGCGCGAGCGTGTAGAAACTGGAATTGCTGCGCGCGCCGGGCACTGTTTCGGAGCCAGCGTCTGAAGTCCCTTGACGGGGCCAGGAGGAACAGTCCCTAACACTTAATGAGCACTCCGTGCTTGGGAGCGCGGAATGTGCTTTTTTGTGGCTTTCTCATTTTCCAGACAGCTGCTCCAATTAGGCTCGTTATAGTCCGTGTGGCTGAGAAAGGTTGAGTAACTAACTTCCTCTAGGCTACACAGCAGGTGAGGGGCAGAATATGGTGGAGGTATCACCCGTGCAAGCCGGCCCCGGAGTTTTGGGTTTCATCACATTGTATTTCCAAAGAGCTGCGTCTCCCTTTGTCAAGATTTCTTAAGCTGAATCTTTCAGGGCTCTTCAGTTGCTTTGGCTTTAAGTCTAAGGAACAGTTCAGCATTTTGGTGTGAGGGGTAAAAATTTGCATTGGGGTGGGGGTGGGGCCTCTGAACCTCTGTGAAAAAAAGAGTAAGTGTTGACTAATTTTTTCCGATTTGTTTTTAATTTTACATCTTTGAAAAGTCAGGACCTAAGTTGGAGGTACCTCATTTTCAGATATTTTTGGCCTATGTCTGTATGTCATGATCTTACTACCTTATACAAGATGCTATATGACCTTGTTGGAGTAGCTCAACTTCTTTTTTCACAGATACCCCACATTTTGAATCACTAAACTTTGGAAGAGACAATATAAACTTTAGATATAAGGATACTCATTTTATGAAATCTGGGGCTTGAATCCTCTATGATGTAGGAAAGATGTTAGGGTTCAAAGCCCACGGCCAAAAAAGATTCTTGGTGGTTTTATTCAAGCACGGGGACAGGATCCATGGAGCTGCACTGGGGTCAGAAGGAGTGCCCATTTTATACTTTTTTTATACTTTCAAGTGGGGCCAGCTATTGTTAGGAAAAGGTCATTTATTACTGTTTAGTAAAAACTCAGTCATGAGACTCCTCGATGTATATCGGTGGATCATATCCTTGGAAGGATGATTGCCAGCATGTATCTTGCGGATAGAGATAAGGGAGATTTCCAAAGGAATTTTTGTATGTTAAAGTAGACTTACAGGATCCTGGGGGGTCGGGCTAAGATTTCCTTTTGTGCTTAGCAAAGTATTAACATTGAGGCAGCTGAGTTCCTAAAGGAATGTCACTCTGCCTGTTTCAAGGACTTGTCAGTGGGCTGCAAGTAGTAAGGAAATTTAATTTTTCTTTTGCCTTTGTTTCCCATATCAGTCTATATGATTCATTTTTTCAAAATAGGTTATTCAGAATAGACTCACATTTAGTGAAATGCTGTGAATATTTATTGATCACCTATGTTTTACATTGCCTTACTCAAAGATGACCAGTGGATATCAGATGACCCCCCCCAGAATTTATATAAAACATTCTTCAAGAGGCAAATTTAACTTCTGTCATTCATTAAGATGACCTACTAACTTTAATTAGCACACTTAAGCTTGCTTGCTCATTTGCATCTTCTGGTTTTCTCCTTTTTTTCATTGTTTTCATATACTGAACCAATGGATATAAAACTGTGTCCCCAAATTGAAGTTTCCTATTATAGGATAGACTTTGATTTAGGACATAATAGTTTTTAGGAGCTTTTCGGTGTTTGTTCTCTTCCCACCAACTTCTAATTGTGCAGAATTTGTGATAATTCTGCTCAGCCACTTTTGAATTTAGAAAAAGTCATAGGATAGACTTTAATTTAGGACATAATAGTTTTTAGGAGCTTTTCGGTGTTTGTTCTCTCCCCACCAACTTCTAATTGTGTGGAATTTGTGATAATTCTGCTCAGCCACTTTTGAATTTAGAAAAACATTTTTTTAGAAGAAATGCTTTAAATATTTTAGTAAATATGTCATTTTTTGTTTATCATTGGGTTTTTTAGTAGCATGTATTTCTGTGACTGAATTATCTTTTTTTACCCAGAATTTTCTTCTTAGTGTTTTTAAAAAAAAAGACCTAGTGTGAACTACCATCTATATATAAAAAAAAATACTTCTTAAAAAAATGCACATCTTTGAAAGTCGTATGATTTTTTTTTTTTTTAGGTTTTATTTTATTTATTATTTTTTTAAAATAGGCTCCACGCTGGGCATGGAGCCCAATGTGGGGCTGGAACTCAGGCCAGTGAGATCAAGAACTGAGCTGAGATCAAGAGTTGGAAGCTTAACCGACTGAGCCACCAAGGCACCCCTTTTAGATTTTGTTTATAAGTAATCTCTACACCCAGTGTGGGGCTCGAATCCCCAACCCTGAGACTGAGGTATATGCTCCACTGACTGAGCCAGTCCGCTGCCCCTGAAATTCATAAGACCTTCTAAATTCCTCCTAAATTTGGAATTTAGGAAGGGAACAAAACTTTCTCATAGAGTGGGTTTGGAGAGTGACACTTGGAGAATGAGTTTGTCATTAAGTAGATAAAAAATGAATTTGTTTTCTGGAAGGTACTGTTCCCATCAGTTTACTTTGATCTTTGGAAAAGAACATTTGTCATCAGTATGTTGGGTTTAATTTTTGAATGTTACCCTCTGTCCAACTCATAACCATGTTTTATTACTGATATTAGAAGAATAAAATTAATATGAAACTAACTGAATTGAAGGTAGGGTCAATTGGTATGATTACTCATGCATGACCTGTAAGTGAGGGTACTGCCTGTTGTTGTGAGATGCATCATGTGTGTCTTAGACTTAGCATGAGTTATATAACATATACTGGTACTCTCTTAATTTGTTGTTTAATGGAATAACATACTTGCTTCTGGTAGGCCAGTCCCATTTTGGTCTCTGATCTTTACTCCTAGTTCCTTTAGGGCAGATCCATACCAGTTTTCCTCTTTAAGGCCCAAAGTTCAACAATGAACTAATTAATTATACAGTAAGCAGAGATCTTAACAGGTCCAAATTATAGGTTATGTTCCATAAGTTTCCTTTTTTTAAACTTTATATTGACATATATAATGATTATAATATTAACGTAATACATATAACTTATTCTCTTCTCTCTTTTAATAATATATATATATTATTTATTATTATTATTCTTTTTTTTTGGTCAAAGGAATAAGTACCCCTGTCAGTGGAGGATGGGATTCTTCCACCTGGGGGTTAAAGTCAAACACTGAACCTCAGAGTCAGCCAGTTGCCTCTCCTAAAGCAATTACAAAGCCAGTTCGGAGAACTGTGGTAGATGAATCTGAAAATTTCTTCAGTGCCTTTCTCTCTCCAACGGATGTCCAGACCATTCAGAAGAGTCCAGTGGTATCAAAACCACCAGCTAAATCACAACGACCAGAAGAAGAAGTGAAAAGCGCTTTACAGGAATCCTTGCACACTGGACAGTCAAGAACACCTGAAACAACTGAGTCAAAAGTAAAAGACTCTACTCCATGTGTATCAGGAGAAACTCGCGCTGTAGATACTCTGTCACCTAAAACTGAGGGCAAGCATGAAGAAACTGTTAATAAAGAACCTCATATGAAGGTGTCAACTGTACATTTGAAAGTGTCTGAAAATGTAATTAATGTGAAAACAACTAGAGAAAACATATCTAATATGTCTACGGCAGACACAAAGGACGTGGCTTTGGAACCTAAGGAACAAAAACATGAAGACCGACAGAGTAATACACCTTCTCCTCCTGTTAGTACCTTCTCGTCTGGTACTTCTACCACCAGTGACATTGAAGTTTTAGATCATGAAAGTGTAATAAGTGAGAGCTCAGCAAGTTCGAGACAAGAGACTACAGATTCCAAATCAAGTCTTCACTTGATGCAGACATCTTTCCAGCTTCTCTCAGCATCTGCTTGTCCTGAGTATAATCGTTTAGATGATTTCCAAAAACTCACCGAGAGCTGCTGCTCTTCTGATGCTTTTGAAAGAATAGACTCATTTAGTGTACAGTCATTGGATAGCCGTAGTGTAAGTGAAATCAATTCAGATGATGAACTGTCAGGCAAGGGATATGCTTTAGTACCTATTATAGTTAATCCTTCAACTCCAAAAACTAAAATAAATGAATCTGTTGAAGGAAAATCTGAGGAAGAAGTGAATGAAACATTAATTGTACCCACAGAGGAAACGGAACTAGAAGAAAGTGGACGAAGTGCGACACCTGTTAATTGTGACCAGCCTGATATTTTGGTTTCTGTTACACCAATAAATGAAGGACATACTGTCTTAGACAAGGTGGCTGAGCAGTGCGAAGCTGCTGAAAGTAAGCCAGAAGCACATTCTGAGAAGGAAGATGTTTGCAAGGTAACTCTAGAAACTGGAAGGGGATTTGGGAATATGCTTTCCAGAGATTAAATCATTGTTTATTTTCTTTTCATTGTTTATTTTCTTTTCATTGTTTATTTTTAACATTCAGTATTGTATAATGATTTGTACTGATTAAAAAAGACAGGCATTTTGACATTTAAGTGTGGCATTAAGGATTTTAAAATTGATTTATTGATGCTAAATTATTTGAAATTTCTCTGAGACAACTATGATAACATAAATGGATATTTCAATATAACTAAGCATAAAAAAGTTTCCATCTTGCGCCGTTACTGTTGAGTCCTTTCACCTTGCAATTCTTGTATGCTGTGCTCATTAATTTGTCATTTTGCAAAGGATTGTCTTAAGGTAACATATATCTTCAAATCCTTTGTAGGTAAAGGTGCTGAAATGAATTTAAATACATGGTTTTTCTTACAACAAAAAATTTTCGCCTGTTCACATTATTTGTAGCAGATCTTAAATGAAAAATGTAGTCTTTAATTATTGATGTGTTTCTGTTGTTATTAATTACTTGTTTGTTTTCTCTTGTATGTTATTTTGATGTTTCCCTGATAGCTATCTTACATGAATAAGAATGGGAGATGTCAAAGGAACAATGGTATTGCTTAGGAATGACAAATTGCTTCTACCTAATACATATAAAAGGAAAGTGGTATAAATTCTTTAACATTAAGTCACAGTTTTGGTTTTTCCTATGATTTTTAGATATAGAAATTGAGTTGGATTTGGCATCTTTAATAGACTCCTCTGAGATATAGGATGTCTTGAAGAAATGTCCTGTAAGTGCCATGTATTGAATTATTTAATGTAAAAAAAAGTGCCAGATTCTGTTACCTAGGTTTAATATTATTCACAAATGAAATGCCATGCTCTAGCTCTAATAGCAGTTTGAATTCCTGAAATCAACACTATTTAGTATCAGTAAGATATTTTTGAGCTACTTTCAGAAGGTAAGTGATTTCTAAATTAACCTAGACCTCAATCAGGTAAGACTGTTTTTTTTAGTGCGTAAAAGCATCATTCCTCCCCTCGTAGACAAGTTTATCATTACTTCAGCAAGACCGAAGGAGTAAGATATTCTAACCATTCCTTTTTGTTTAGCTTTATACTGATATATTCTGGAGATTTTAAAGTTACATGCCTGTAGATTTTCTAAAATTGCTTTTATTTTTTAAATGCAAAGTATCATACTAAAAAAAGTTACACGTTACATATTTGAATTAAAGAATAAAATCGAATAACAGACACTTGTATATCTGCTACCCAGCTAAGATACAGAATATTACTAGAGGCTTTAAAGCCCTTCTTTGGTCTTTATTTTCTCTAGCTCCCCTCCTCTTTCGGTGGATGTGTACACCTTTCCTAGATTTTTGCTGTAACAAACTTGTAAATATTCTTGTATATATATGCAAAAGTTTTCTCCTCTAAAGTATATCTAAAAGAATTTTCTACATTAAAGGGTGTGTAGATCTTCAACTAGATGTTGTCTAATTGTTTTCCAAAGTGGTTTACTAATTTATACTCCTACCGGCTATGTGGTTGTACTAATTTATACTCTCCTACCAGCTATGTATGAGTTCTTGTTGTTCTGAATCCACTGTGTTCTCGGTATTGTTTTAAATTCTTTTTATGAGATAATGCTGTTTTATTTATTAGAGTGATTAGTCTACCTTTACAACTCATCACCTGCATGTAGAAATGGTTTTTTAAGGTTAAATGCATGACTTTTGTGTATTCTCCTTATTCAGAGACTTGAATTTCTGAATGAGAAACTGGATAAAAGGGAGGCTCAGTTATTATCTCTTAGTAAAGAAAAAGCACTTCTAGAAGAAGCCTATGATAATCTGAAAGAGTAAGTATTTTACAAATGTGAATAATTTTGTATGTTTTGTAGAGGCCCAAATACTTGGTTATTATTTAAGAATATTTTTTAAACTAAAATGTTTGAAATTTAACTTGTGTATAATTATTGAAAATGGAATAGTGGGACCTCTGGGTGGCTCAGTCAGTTAACTGTCTGCCTTGGCTCAGATCATGATTCCAGGGTCCTGGGATCAAGTCCCACATCGGGCTTCTTGTTCACCCGGGAGGCTGTTTCTCCCCCTGCCTGCCCCTGTTCCTGCTTGTTCTCTCTCCTTCTCTCTGAAAAGTAAATAAATAAAGTCTCAAAAAAAAGAAAGAAAAAAAGAAAGAAAGAAGATGGAATAGTTTTTCAATTCTCACCATAGAGATTTCTTTTCTCCTCAAATTATCTTTACCATATTACCTTTGGCATTGAAGAGAAGTATTTTGCAAAAAAACCCAAAAAACCATTTTCCCTTTTAGTATGAGATTTAAAACGTGTTTTTAAAGATATTAAAAAAGAAAACTATGATATTAAAAAAGACACTGAATATTTGTTTGCTTTAAGGGGTGATTAGTAAAATATAACAGATTCAAAAATGAAAAATTTTGTTTAACATTATCTTACTTTTACACATCAAATATTGGTGACATTTTCATTTTCTAGTGGGTTTTCATTTAGGTGCTTTAAAATAAATTAAGCAGGTAGTTTTTCTCTTAAAAGTTAACAGGCCTAAACCTAAACTGTTTTAGTAAGGTATATGTTGAAGACAATATTATTTTCCTTTTGCAAACTGCACTCATCTTGTTACCTTAGGAATATGTAAACAAGTATCTCTGTCTCTGTTGTTTTTTAATTTAGTGAAATGTTTAGAGTGAAAGAAGAAAGCAGCAGCATTTCTTCTTTGAAAGATGAATTTACTCAAAGAATTGCAGAAGCAGAAAAGAAAGTTCAGCTAGCCTGCAAAGAGAGAGATGCTGCTAAAAAGGTAATGAAAGTTAAAAATAATATTAATTCTATACAGACATGGATTTTTGAGGGATGCATTCATAATATTTTGGTGTGGAAAAAAAGAGAAGTAAGATTAAAGGATAATACCATATAGTATATTAACACTTAAATGGTAGATTTTTTAGTATCTTTAGACTTACAGATTTTTGATATTAGAAGAATCTAAGCCAGTATTTGTATAATTTATCTATAAGTCCTTGCAAGATACATAGCTAGGATCATTAGAATAATTTTTATAAATGATAATTTCATTAAAATAAATAACAAATCTAAAAGGCACTGTGTAAATTAAAAAAATATATCCTTACTCTCTTTTGTTACTGTTTAACCACTTCAAACATATATGTTCTTCTTCAAGTCAAAGTAATTTTAAAATAAAAGAATTGTAAGGGTTAGTGACTCTTGTGAGGCATAATATTGATTTATTCTAATACAGGATTTCTCCTGAGCACTATTCACATTTTGGGCTGGATAATTTTATGCTGTATGAGACTCTTCTGTGCATTGTAGGGTGTTTACCAGCATCCAGGCCTGTACCTACAAGACACCAGTGTCACCCTCACCTCCCCCTCTCCCAGTGCACATCCATCACCCCCTTCCACGAGTTTAGATAATTGAAAATGTTGGCAGACTTTGCCAAATGTCCTCTTGAGAGCATAGTCACTCTGGGTTGGGAACCATTGTTCTAATTCTTAAAATTTGTAGCAGTTGGCTGTTTCAGAAATTGGTAACCAGCTAAGGTTAGTAATTATTTCTTCTATCCCAGCTATTAGTAGTAACGTTTCTCATGATTTACCCTTCTCAGTTAAGTTGCTTTCCTTCTTCTTGACCAGTATTAATATTTATATTTTTTTCTTTGTATACTCTTACAGAAGAGAAATAAGTCATAGACTTCCTTCTGCTTAGGTTGCTTTAATTAGCTAGCTCATTTCAGATACTGACAATAACCTGAAACTACCTAACCAACTTACCTCTTCTTGTCCCTATAGTATTCCATCTAGACCAGTCTAATTGAGAAATTAGATTTTAAGTAATGCTTGTTTCCTGTAATGTACTTTGAATTGTAGATCTAAAATAGACCCAAACCATTGACTATAGGTGGGAAAAGCTTGGGCCCTAAGTTTTAACAGGTTTTTTGTGTACTGGTATATATGAACCCCCTACTTAGGATCTGTAGGAAATTCAAGGTGAATTGAATTACCTTAAGTAAAGAGTTTGCTTATCTAATGATGGAAAACAGATAATGTCTACACCTGTGTAGTACTAGGCAGAATGAAATAAGTTACAGATAAAGATGAATAAGCAGTTTGGAATGGTATCACAGAGGATGAATTCTGACCAGGGAATTGAGGAAAGTTTCATGGAAGGCAGGATTGGGCCTTTCTTATTGGGCCTTGATGGATTAATCAAATTTTGACAGCTGGAAAATGCACAGCAGTGCTGTGGATGGTTCAGAGCATGGGCTTTGTGGACTCATAAACCTGGTTTCAAGTTAAACTCTACCACTTAATAGCTCTCTGACCTTCAAAATTTATTCAATCTTGCAGTGTCTTTCTTATTTGTGTAGTTGAATAAAGGACCTCCCTCATAGAATTGTTGTGAGGATAAAATGATAATAGATACTAAGCATGGTTTAATACCTAATGCTAGTTGTTTTTAGCTGTTGTTTGGTTTCAGATCATTGCTTAAAACCTAATTTTAAATCATAGAACACTTTTCACATCTCCATTTGTGGTTTTAAGAGATAAACTGTCTTGACATATCTGTGCTGAATCTCTGCTTTATTAAAGTAGATTGAACCTTATAATTATGTTTTCCCTCATTTTACAATGCACTAGCAAGTGCAAGTTTTAGATGAGGAAAAGAAATACAGTGCAAAATGGAGACATATGTTGTTCTAAATATAATGTTTAACCTGAAAATATGTGTATAGAGATACTCAAGAAAGGTATTGAAAGTTAACTTACTCTTATTTGCATTTCCATATTAAAACCTGTTTATATCTGAATTCAGGTTTTCTATGTTGTTTCAAAGCTATTTACATGGTTAACTGAGGTAATAAACTCACTTTAACAGAATAAAATTTACAGAACTTTATCGAGAATTTCATTATTGATGACTTCTTTGAATATGGAAAAAATTGAAAAATATGCCCAGAGTGAAAGTAATTCTTTATGGTATTCACATTCCTTTCTTTTTAATTAGGAAATTAAAAGTATAAAGGAAGAACTTGCTACTAGATTAAATAGTAGTGAGACTTCAGACCTTTTGAAAGAGAAAGAAGAGCAGATCCGAGGGTTAATGGAAGAAGGTGCGTAAAGTATTTAGTTAACTATGAAAAATACTGTAACAGGAGGAATGCTCACCACATGATTAGCTGCTACTTCCCAATAAAAAATAATTGGAAGCAAGAAAGATTTGTGCTTAAACCTCAGAAATGATAGGTGACAATTTAGCGAAGAATGGGGAGCAATATGTATAGAGGCAGAGATGCATGTATGTAGCCTTTTGTTTCTAGGGAGGTAAAAAAAAAAAAATAACTTGCTGAAAAACAAATGTTTGTGCTTTCATAAAAAAAGCTTTTTAACAGGTTTTAGAGCCTGTCATGTAACCCAAGATATTTGAAGGTTATAATCCTGGAATTTATATAGTATCTGAATCTCTAGCTTGGGTACTATGTGGTATCATCATATTGTTTGGTCGACTGATAGTGAACTTTTCATTATATTCTTGTTTTAATTTTTCAGTTATTTAGCCCTCTATGAAAAGACTTAAAATTAGCAAGGTTATAGAATTAAATATCCTTCATGAGATAAATTATAAATAGACACTGGATTAATTTCTTTATGTATTATCATAGGAGAGAAGGTAGTTTTGGAAAAGGTGATTAAATGAATTTTTCTTTTCCTCTTAATTAAGGTTTTTCTAGTTCTAAGAATAACACTTACTACTTGCAGAAATTTTTTAAGTTTTAGGAGATGTAGGAAGAAAAAACGAAATCATAATTCGGTTTTATAAGGAACTATCAATTTCTTCTAGTTCTTTTTTAATGTTTTTAATACATTGTTAAGCATAATTAAGGTCATGTATTTAATCTGTAATCTTTTACATTTTCGTAATTCTTTTACATTTCCCTATGCTATTAAATGCTTTGCTAGCATTATTAATGGCTGTATTAAAGTCCATTATATGGCTATATATATACTGTAATTTATTTTACTGTTTTCCTAATGTTGTACATTTATTTCTGAAATGTTAATATTACAAATAGTCGTGGGATGAGAATTTCAAATCATTGAACTAAAGAGAATTTCCAGAGTAAGTGTTTGAAAAGAATTGGAAACAATCACTGTATTTGAAAAAGTTAGTTTTACCCAATCTTTCTTTTTCATTTATTCAGCTAATATTTAACAGTTAGTGTGTCAGATACTGTGTTTGATACAGTAATACATACGACACACTCCCTGTCTTTTAGGAACTTACAGTTTAATGAGAGGGAAATATAAGTACACAGATAATTATAAAGCACAGTCTAAGCACTGCAATAGAAGAATGAAGGGAGAATTGATAAAACACATAATCATTATCTCAAGACATGTTGAGGTCATGAATTGCCTGTGTTACAACACTAGAAACTGAGGAGAAGACTGTGTGCATGGATTCATAATTTTAAAAAAATATTTAAAATAATTATATCAGGTGTCACTATTTTGGTATTTATTAATTTAGGTAGGAGGTGGGTTGATGTTCTCTTTTGCTTAATGAACTTCTTTATACTGAAAATAGAATGATTTCATATGGGATTATTTACTTCTTCTGTATCCCCCAGAAGTATTTTTTTTTAAAGATTTTATTGGTTTATTAGAGAGCACACAAGCGGGGGGGAGCAGGAGAGAGAAGAAGACTCCCCCACTGAGCGGGAAGCCCCATGTGGGGCGTGATGCGGGGCTCCATTCCAGGACCCTGAGATCATGACCTGAGCCAAAGGCAGATGCTTAACTGACTGAGCCACCCACGTGCCTCTCCCCCAGAAATATTTTTAAATTCACAGCCGAAAATCTGAAAGACTAACAGCTGAAAGTACACTACAATGAATAGCTGATTACTTTATTACCTCGCTTCATCAATTATTAACATCTAGGCACACCTGCTTCATATCTTTTTGCACATACATGCACTTCCCTTTTGCCAAACCATTTGAATGTAGGTGACAGAAATAACATTCCACTCCTAAATTCCACTCCTAAATTTTTTTCCAGCTTTATTGAGGTATAATTGAGTAATAAAAATTGTATATATTTTTTGATACACATATACGTTGTGAAATGATTACCACAGTCGAGCTAATTAATATATCAATCACCTCATGTAGTTAACATCTTTTTATGTGACGAGAACACCTAAGATCAATTCTCTTAGCAAATTTCAAGTGTATAATATAGTATTATTAATTGTAGTCACCATTCTGTACATTAGATCTGCAGAACTTATTCACCTGCATAACTGAAACTTAGTACCCTTTGACCAATATCTCCACATTTCCCCCATCCCTGGTAACCAGCATTCTACTCTCTGCTTTTGTGAGTTCAACTTTTTTGTATTCCACATATAAGTAAGATCATGCAGTATCTTGAGTCTGGCTTATTTCAGCCTCCAGTTTCATCCACATTATCACAAATGGCAGGGTTTTCTTCTTTTTCAAGACTAAATAATATTACTTTGTATACACACATGCTGCTTTTTTATTTTTTAGAATATTTAATGAATTGGGAAAATATAATTTTAGATAGCAAAAACAAGTTACACATTTGTATATACTTTTATTCAAGTATAATTACATACAATGTTATATTAGTTTCAGGTGTACAACATAGTGATTCAACAATTCTGTACATTACTCACTGCTCACCATAAATACAATCGCCATCTGTCACTATGTAACATTACTACGATATTATTGACTATATTCACTGTACTGTAATTTTTATTTCTCTGACTTATTTTGTAACTAAAAGTTTGTACCTCTTAATCCCTTTCACCTATTTCAGTCCTCCACCCCCACTTCCCCTTTGGCAACCATCATGTTTTTTTCTCTTTTTGAGTGTTTCCTGTTTGCTTGTTTGTTTGAGTTTTTTTTGTTTTGTTTTAGATTCTGCATATAAGTGAAATCATATGGTATGATCTTTTAATGTATTGTTAAATTCAGTTTGCTAATATTTTGTTGAGGATTTTACATCTATGTTCATCAAGGTATTGACCTATGGTTTAGTTTTGTGTTGTGTGGCTTTGGTTTTGGTATCAGGATAATGCTGGCCTCATAGAATAAATTTGAAGAATAGATATTAATTCTTCTTTAAATGGTACAATTCACCTGTGAAGACCTCCTGGTCTTTTGAGAGGAGTCTTTTGATTACCAATTCAATTTTGTTACTAGCAGTTGGCCTGTTCAAATTTGCTTGTTCTTTCTGATTCAATTTTGGGAGATTTTATGTTTCTAGGAATTTATCTATTTTTTTCTAGGTTGTCCAGTTTGTTGGCATATGTAATCTTCATAGTATTCTCTTATAATTCTTTGTATTTCTGTGCACAACACATTGTCTTTCTTTATCCATTGATGGACACTTAGGTTGTTTCCAGAACTTGGTATTGTGAATAATGCTGTGGAGTGCACATATCTTTGAGATACTGATTTTATTTCCTTTGGATATATATCTAGAAGTGGGATTGTTGTATCATATAGTAGTTCTATTTTTAATTTTTTGAGTAATCTCCAAGTTGTTTTCCAAAGTGTCTGTACCAATTTATATTCTTGCCAATAGTATACCAAGGTTCCTTTTTCTCCATATCCTTGCCAAGTCTTATGATTTGTCTTGTTGATAATAGGTATCCTAATAGGTGTGAGGTGTAGTTTTAATTTGTATTTCCCTCATGATTAGTGATGTTGAGCACCTTTTTGTATACCTGTTGGCCATTCACATGTCTTCTTTTGAGAAAAGTCTGTTCATGTTTTTTGCCCATTTCTTAATTGGCTTATTTGTTTTTTGCTGTTGAGTTGTATGGGTTCTTTGTATATTTTGGATATTAATCCCCTATCAGAAGTATGGCTTGCAAATATTTTTCTCCATTCTGCAGACTATCTCTTCAAGTCTATTGATTGTTTGCTGTGCAGTATTTTTTTAGTTTGATGCAATCCCAGTTGTCTATTTTGCTTTTGTAGCTTATGCTTTTGGGATCATACCCAAAAAAAATCATTGCCATGACCAGTGTCAGAAGGTTTTTTCCCTGTGTTTTCTCCTAGTAATTTTACAGTTTCAGGTATGTTAAGTCTTAAATCTATTTTGAGTTGACTTTTGTATTTGGTGTGTGATAGGGTCCAGTTTTATTCTGCATATGATTATCCAGTTTTCCCATTACTATTGATTCATGAGACTGTCCTTTCCCCATTATGTGTTCTTGGCATCTTTGTTGAAGATTAGTTGGCTGTAAATTTATTTCTAAATTTTCTGTGGATTTTCTAAGCTCTCTATTTTGTTCCACTGGTCTGTATGTTTTTATGCCAGTACGATACTGTTTGGATTACTGTAGCTTTATAACATGTTTTAAAATTAGAAAATGTGATACTTTCAGTTTTGTTCTTGCTAAGGATTGCTTTGGCTGTTTGAGGTCTTCTGTGGTTCCACATGAATTTTAGGATTTCTTAAAATTTTTGTGAAATATGTCATTGGAATTTTGATAGATACTGCAGTGAATCTGTAGTCCACTCCTAAATTCCTAAGTCTCCATTTCTCAATAGCAAGTACATTTTGCTTCACAAGCACAACATCATAATCATACCTAAGAAAATCAGTATTAATTCAGAAGTGTACTCCAGCATATATTTCATTATTTATCTCCATGGTCTCTAAAAATGACTTTTATACCTGGTCATTTGTCCTGCCCCAAGATCTAGTCAAAGTTTGTATATTGCATTTGACCATTATGTCCTTTTAGTCTTCCACCGATCTAGGATAGCTCTCTCTTAATGACATTGAAGACTTTGTAGAGTCCAGGCCAATTGTCCTACATATTCCCCATGTTCAGGAGTTTATCCCTTTCTTCATGATTAGATTTAGTTAAAATTTCTAGTAAGAAATATCATTGCTGATACTGTGTACCCACCTCTCCATTATATCAGTAGATGCATAATATACCACAATTGATGATGTCAAAACAATGTTTGGTTAAGGTGGTGACAGCCAGATTTCTCCATTGTAAAAGCACATTTTTCTCTTCATAAGGCATAAGTAATATGTGGGGATGATTTTTTAAGGTGTAAATATCCTATTATCTACTATCCTTCCACCTAGTAATTTTAGCATTCATTGATGGTTTTTGTACAAATCAGTTTAACATTTGTGGTTACAGTTTTGTGATTTTAAAAATATTCTATCATTTTATGTCACTGGTTAGATAAAACATTCAATCCAGATTCTTAAGGAATCATTGTTTGAATTATTTATTTATTTATTTATTTTCGCCATTGCCAGGAGAAAAACTTTCAAAACAGCAGCTGCATAATTCTAACATTATTAAGAAATTAAGAGCTAAAGACAAAGAAAATGAAAATATTATTGCAAAGCTGAACAAAAAAGTTAAAGACCTAGAAGAAGATTTGCAACATTTAAAACAGGTGAATGTTAACCATTCTCTAGATATATATGTTGTTATTACTTCCTATATGAACAATTGGCTGTGGTTTATAAGACATTTAGAATAATTTATCAGGGTATATCATGTGGGAAGACTTTATCAAGCAATTTAATAAATGAGTGTTAAGATTTTTCTTCATTATTGTAACATTTAAGATTCCTGGAATACAATTATTTACCATGGTGTTATTTATTGAAAAATACTTTTGTCTGTTTTTATAATATAGGTCCTTGATGGCAAAGAAGAAGTTGAGAAACAGCATAGAGAAAGCATTAAAAAACTAAATTCTGTGGTGGAACGCCAAGAGAAGGATCTTGGCCGACTGCAGGTAGACATAGATGAACTTGAAGAAAAGAACCGAAGTATTCAGGCTGCTCTGGATAGTGCATACAAGTAAGAAAATAAACAAATATGCAACCCATTTAAAATTATCAGAACGGGATATTGAAAAAATACTTTTTCTGTTATCTAATCACTAACAATATTTATAAACTTAGCTATATATGAACTTGTAACTGGTCAAAGCAAATTCACAAGAGTTGTTACTGTAGTCAGTGTTTATTTTTTTATTTTTTT